TGAATGTGCGGAGCTTGGTTTGCGCTATTTGTCTAGCTGGGGAGTTCATAAAGGCAAATATCAAAACGGCGGGAAAAGTAAATTGTTCGCGTCTACTCATTCTCGAGTCTTCATTTTAATAAAACATGAATTACCTGAAGTGTTTATGCTGTTCTGTTGTTGTTGTTGTTGCTATTGGTGGTGTGTTGTTCTTGTTCACCATTGAACTATGAATGTGTAATGGATTTTGAATGAAATTGGTACTTTAAAGGGCACAGTGGGAGAACGGGCACGGGAATCTAAATTGGAAACGTTTCGAAACGAAAATAGTATTTGTCGTGGAAAAATGTGGTTTAGAATCTTGAATTCAATCCGTTGGAACCTGAAATACATATTGAAATTTTTGCTAGACAACTCAGTGGAAATGGAAAATAATGTAAAAAAAACTCTTAAAAATGTATGAAAAGCTTTAATAAACTAAACATTGTATGAGACTATAACAAAAAGCGGACCATTGTCGAATATCTTTCATCGAGAGGCTTTGTGTCCAAAATGTCGAATTATCACAAGTCCGATTGAAAATAGTAAGATAATATCATACATGAGGAGGTGCATGTGGTCGGCTATGAACCAATATAGGTCGTAATCAAACTTGTTCTAACTGTCGCAATAAGTGGTTCAATTATTATTCGTGTGTATGCGGGACTCGATTTAGATTGTTTTATTACGTCCGTAGAGTGTTTTGAAGATATATAAAATGACTTCTTCAAATTTCAAAATAGTCACACCCTCCATGTCATATGGCTACAGAGGGTATATATCATTTGATACGGCCAAACCTTCTTCATCGATACTAAATCCGTTTCAGGACATTTGGAGCCGATCTAGCCAGGTCCGTCTGTCTGTCTGGCTGGTGCTCACGATAACTCTCGAAGGGAGTATCCGATTTGGTCCAAACTTGGTACGAGGTAATATTATTGTCAAACATAGATCGAGTTCGGAGATGGACAATATCGGTTCATTTTTTCTGATACATCCCCCACAAAAGGTGCACATTTTCAAAGAAAATTATTTACTGCACAGAAAGAGAGAGGATAATCCGATTTTGCTCCAACTTTGCAAATCCTAATACTTGCATCAGTGCTAGGTCAGGTGCGAAAATGGACAATATCGGTCCACTCCATCAATTATATTGGTCTATCATTCGGAACCCACTCCATAGAGGGTCAACAATTTGAATAATCATAACAGAAGTCAAAATATATTTAAATATTCGAACATTGGCTGAGGGAATACATGTGTCGTCTTGTTTAATAGAAAAACTAGTAAAAGAGAAAGTACGGAAAGCTTGTGAAAATTATAAAAATAAATGACAGTCCTTCAAAATCAACATCCAGCCATTCATAAGCTGGCAATGCTGCTGCTATTTTCTACTCGAACAAAATGTTTGTTTCTGAAATTTCTTAGAAACTTGCCTACAATTACAGAGAAATTATGAAATTCGATTTAGCTTCCATTTTACTTCCATACCGATCACAGTTGGCATGACTTTACATATCTTCTCAATTAAAAGGAAATGTTGGTTGAGGAAAGCTATGACAAATATGGGGAATGGTCTAGGATATACCATAGTCGAACCGCTCAACTTTTATCCTATGCTCTCTGGTCTGGAAATGGATCTGCATATTATTGTGACGATGATTGTTCGTCACTATGATTAAATTTCCATTCGAAATCCCTTTACTTTCTATTTTTTTGAAGGTCATCTACAAAATTCTATACTAAGTTAGTGTTCATAGATTAATTTGTATCTCTTTCAAGGGCCCTATAACTTTCCTCAGCTCAAAATTCAAATTCAACTCAAAAAATTCATCGAATAAATTGCCGTTTATTTTTAAGTTCTTTGTGAGATTTTTTTTTGGGCAGGGGATGCCTTTCTTTTTTATTTTATATCGTTTTTTGTTGTTGTCGATTTCTTATTCTCGTAGAGCAAAACTTAAATGAAACATAAGTACTTTTTCTTGGCAATGTTTACTACCGGAACAAACTAAGTGAATGTGTATGCGTGTGTGGGTGTGTGTGTGTGTGACTGTTTGCACACATATCTATGAAACTGTCAGGATACCCGATATTAGAGTGTTTTCGAATTTAAGAGAGCAACATTTTTTCAAAAATATTGGGCTCTCAAAACTATTACAATTCAGCTTATGGTGAGAATACATAAAATGCTCTTTTGACTGACTTAATTCATCGGATGGCTTCTTCCTAAAAGAACAAAGGAGCTTTAGATTGATGTTCTTCTATTTTGGCTCATAATTTATACTTGTTAAGCCCACGCTCCTTTGTTCTTCTATGAAGAAGCTAATCGATGACATGAACCAGAACAAAAAGGCGTTTTATGTATTCTCAGCTTTAGGCTTTTAACACTGAATTCCATTGCATCCATACATTCAGTGTCATAGAACCTTACAATAATCGTTCGGTGCCCTGAGGCCCCTGTTGTTGCTCCAAATGACTTCAGAAATGTCCCTAAGACCTCATTCGGAGTTTTCGGTCATCATCTCTTGATTGAACCCATATATGTTACACCCTATTGTGTCAGGGTATACATCAATGGATGCTCAAACTTGTTGTCTATACATTCATAGACACATGTATGTATGTGTGAGTATGTGTGAGTGAGCTACCTCAATTTAAAGCAACTGCTATGCTAGACGCCGACTAAACTTTGATCGTTAAATTATATATCGTTATAACAGAAAAATTGAAATTAAAGTATAGATACTATTACAAGAAATGCCAAGGAAATTACATGGTTGGCCAGAATCAAAAAGAAAAAATGAAAACATTTGAAGGATCACTTTAAACTGCTTCATGCCAAGGAGCTAAGTTGGCTGTTGTGGATTGATGAATTTCATGGAATTTGACTTGGGAAGTTCCAATGAAGAGTTTATTTTTGTTCGTTTCTAGAATTGGCCATAAACATTTTAGAGTATTTTTTTCTAATTTTTTTGCCAAGACTTCAGTTTCGAAGGTTGGAAGTCAGCGATGCCGGGCGTCGCTTTTTGTTCTTTTCTAGAATCGGCCATGAACATTTTAACAGCGATGACGGGCAAATTAATATTTAAAATAACACGAACTTTGAACACCTTAGATCGATTTTTTTCTACTTCGAAATCATCAAAAAAATTGATAATTCGATGAACATCTGCTCCATTAACCGACTGTTTTAATCACGCTAGAGTCAAAACGAATAAAGATATGAAGCTAAAATTTTGCACAGATCAGTCTTTTGTCAAGATCGAAGATAGGCTATATCAGTCCACGATATCGTATAGCCCCCATATACCGGTTCCCCCGATATTCGGTATTTTGATGATTGTATGCAAATTTTTCAGTGGAATTGTCTGAAAATATACGAAAGGACTACCTTCTGAGTACTTTATCTCCTGGAAGAGTATTGTCTTTATTGGTCCACGATATCGTATAGCCCACATACAATGGTACCCCCCGATATTGGATATTTTGACGTTTTTAGGGAGTTGTTTCAAATTTCGTATTTGGAGTTCATAATGGGAACTACAGTCTATGACAGAAAATTGTCTATGTCTCTAGTTCAGATCTTCGTATGGGCTACATATATCAGTACCTCCCTGTATTCGGTATTTTGACAATTTTAGCTACATTATTCACCGGATTTTTTTAAGTCTCTTATTTAAATATTGTAAAAGCTTATGACAAAAGTTGTCTATGCAGGTCCACGCCTTCGTATAGACGCCAATATAACGGCTATATTCGGTATTTTTAAGATTTTAACAGAATTTGTAATGAATTTTTTTTTTAAGTCTAAATTCGTTTCAAATTGTGGAAGGTATGACAGTTCGGCGCGGCCGAACTTACTGCTTGTTTAGTTTTTATCAATGACTACATGGCAAATGATTTATCATAATATTAGGCCTTTATGTAGGACTTAATGTACAGCTCCATTGATTTATTTTCAACCTTTCCCAATTCTGAAGGAGATTTACAACGCACTTCACTTTACATCTCTCCAATTCTAGAGTCAAAATATAGTTCTATGAAGCTATTGTTATTGCCTCCTGCAAAAGGACAAATTGTCCTAAGAAGCCACCTTTCTTGGAATTGATTTGTGCCCGGCAAATATAGGCTAGTGATAATCCGGCCCACATTCATCCAACAATGGCGGGGTGAATGACACAAAAAATGTTATTGCTCCGCCAAACGAGACCAGACAATAAAATCATCTTCTTTTCTGCTCCAGTGAAATGAAAATAATTCTTGGAAATCTCGTTTTGGATATTTGCATTTCGGCTGGGCTAGTCTCGGAGAAAAAAAATGCGATTTTTCCCAAAGAATTTTTAATTAATGCTTCTCGTTTGTAAAATGGAAATTTGGGAAATCTTTTTTGATGGCGAAATCTAATGAATTAAGCCCAACTTGCCGAAATTGAGTGCTAAGAAACAAAAGGCTTTTGGTACAACAATAACAACAACAAAAAAATAACAGATGTGATGACAGGAGCATTTAAAAATGTTCCTTTACAGCACCCAGAGAAAAGACGACCCAGCTTAGCGCAACAACAACAATAGCAGAAGCAACAAAACTCGTGAAAAGGATCAAAAGGAATTCTTAAAAAGCAACAGTAGCAAAAGGATTTAAACGTTTTGGGGGTAGGGGGGCCAATTGACTAAATTTGAGACAATGCCGCCAAAAAATGTCCTGAAAAAAGGAAAAGCTAAACAAACACACACATACACCCATACACAAATATAAATAATCAACATAAAGAGGGAAAAGGAACAGAGAACATTGCGAGCGAACAATTAAAAAACAAAGAAAGAAAGGGTTGTTTAGCTTGTGTCAAAAACTTGTAAATTGTAAAAACATCTTAGACATCGGGAACATTGAGAGAAGCCCTGCTCTAAATTAAATGTCGCCGGCGAAAGCACTGGCAAATTTTGCATAGATATATGTGTTGTAGTCCAGTTTCCCCTCTCCACCCACAAAATATCCTCTCAAAACAATTTATATCTGACTATGCCATAGATGATGTATGGAAATTGCCAAACACCAACAACAATCGCAGAGACAACAACAGAAAAAAAAAACACACACACACACGCATCCGAATACCCCCAACAACAATAACAAAACATGAAATTATTTTTTACAGGATATGAAGGAAAATTATGAAAATGCTTAGGAAAATACAAACATCCGTGATTTGCATATGAATGCAGACCAACAAAAGGGGCGGAGGGCCAAACAGCGGATGTTAATAACAAATAACCAAAATAAATAAACAAACAAACAAACGAAAGATAAACAAATAAACCAAAAAAAGTTGAATACCATTCTAAAACAGCAGCAACAACAACAACAACAAGTGGATGATGCCAACAACACCAACTAACTAATAAAAGTATTGCAAATAATTCATATATCCGGTTTTGTATAACGGAAACGGATATAACTGTTCAAGTTCGGACGTGTGCAAGTTACACAATTACATCGACACGAAGCACACACACACACACACAAACACAGACTGACACACTTGGAACGCCCACACACGTACATAACATTAGCAAAGGTGTAAACGGTGTAACTGGTTACAGTGCCAACACAACAGCTACACCAACAACCTGAGTAGCAACTCCTCTTCAAGGAAACAGGACACAGTGTTGTACAGCGGAAACATCTCCCAGCAGCTGTGGGAACGGAAATGCATACAAAGTACCGCATTTAACAATGGAAATCGATGTAAATCTCCATAAGCCACCAAACACCATAGAACTCAAGACCATCTCGGCCGGCAGCTACAGCTATCGCCAGGGTCACGGTGGCACCAGTAGCAACAGAAGCAGCAGCAATAACAACAACAGTCATTCCTTCAACAATAATAACGGGCAGAACCACCAGCAGGCTGGACTGCTACGCAGTGTCCCGCAAACACCACCATTAACATCAGATCCTGCTGTAACTCCCGGCTGTTGTGGTATTCTCTCACGTCTTTTGTGCTCCTCCAGCAGCAATTGCGGCAAGACGGCTACATCCAGTGCTGACTTCAACACAATTCCATTCAATGGCACAGAAGCCCTCTATGGCGGCATTGGCAGCAGTGGGGGTGGTGCCACCACCCAGCAACCTTATCCACTCTATGCCAATCTTTTGAAGAAGGGCCAGCAGCATCGTCGCACTCCGCAAGAAATCTATTTTGAGAGTCGTGGCAAATCCTGTAAGAAGCTATTGAAATTCAATGGTAGCTCCAATAAGGTAAGTGCAACACCACCAACAACAATAAGAGTACTACCAAAGAATGGGAGTGGAAAAAAAGATCTTCCCGACCGCACAACTAAAACGTTTTGTATGCACAAAGCTTAGAAATCGATGAATAGATTTCCAGTTGGGGATAAAAGTTGTTTTTGTTTGTTTGGATATTATACGGGGACTATACAATGGGATATTATCTTCCATTGTATGGAGGACGAGGAGGAGGAGGAGCAAGAGGAGCCTATTCACTAAGATACATAGAAACACACACACACAATATATACCAGTTTGTTGGAAATAAACATCATTTCCGTGAACTGTATTGCCCATAGAGTTTGTCAGGAACGGAGTTTGGATACGAAGTAGATTTTGAATGGAAAATAATCGGAACTGAAATCTGATATTTTTGCAGATTTATTTCCAATTTTATTTGGGAATATTGAAATGTTCTCTCATGTGTTGTCATGACTGGATTGACACAAAATTTCCTGAAATCGATTGTGTTCTAAAGGCGCCAAAGCCCACTTGGTCCTAAACAAAAATCTTTTCTTTCTTGGAGAAAGTACCAGGAGGAGGTACCTTTCTATATATTGCTATACCCTGCACAGTTCTTTTGTCATTTCGTTTGTAGCTCCTCGAAATAAGACGTTAGATCCTATCATATATATATTCTCGATTAGCATAAAATTTTAAGTCGATTTGGCAGGGACCCCCTGTCCGAAGGTCCGCATGTATGCCTACAATTTTGTACATATACAGGTCACGTAGGTCCAGGTACAATCCGATGATTTAAGCCAAATTTTCTAACGATATTGTTTAAAATTCGATATTTCGATTTCGTTTTGGATTGGCTTCTACCTTCAGTCGCTGAACTTTGTCTATACAGGCCCACCGTAGCCCCTTTATAACAGTAACATCACATATCCAGTATTTTCTGGGATTTAACGACATTTTTCGCGAAATTGTTTCAAATGTAACATTTGAAACTCGCAATAAATTACATTGCCTGTAGCAGAAAATTATCTGTGAAGGTTCACGTTTTGATATATTTTAGGAGTTTCTGGTGTTTTGAAGGCTTTAAGAGCATTCTCCAACTAATTTCACTTCGTTTGCAGTTAAAAATTGAATAATATGGAAGTTATTAGAACATTGAATTTCGATTCCTTTATTTTAAAAGATTCTCTTTACCTCTTGGTGGAGCGTATTAAAAGTTCGCCACGGTCGAACGTGAAGCTTTTTTACTCGTTATCATAGTGTTACAATCCCAACGGCCGGATATTTTTCTTGAATGAGGAGCAATCATATTATTATTCAATCGATAATCTCAACTATTTTAATGTACCCCCATTTAACTCTTTTATTTTGTTCGAAGAACACACTCAAAAAAATTTGTGCCATAAATATAAGAGAGCGAGGGAGAGAGAGGGAGAGAGGGAGAGAGACAGAGAGAGAGAAATTAGTTTTGCAGAAAAATCAAGGCCAATTTAAAAAGACGAACTAAGTCCTCTCTTCTTTCGTGAGGATCAAATTACAAAAGAAAGCGCATCTAAAGATGTACAAATTTTACCATATATATTTTTCAGAAAATGAATACTGATTATTGTTTTGAGTGGCAAATCTAGTAAAAGAGAGGCAATTGTTAAATTCGCTCTAAAGAGGGAGAGAGAGATGACTTTGCCCGAAAGTAAAAATATTAAGAATAGTTGAAAATTCTTCAAAATCAATATATCAGAAGGTGGCAATCAGCTATCACATTTTACTCGGACAAATTACCTAGTAAAAGTAGTAAAAGAGAACATCTATATACAGGGTGAGATAAAAAAAACTGTAGCAAGGTCAAACGCCATAATTTTTATTTTATTTTTTTAATTTTATTGAACGAAAGCAAAAAATGTCGAAAATAGCATCAAATTTTAAAATAAGTTTAGATTTGTTCGAATTGGTCACCTTTGGCACGAATTATGGTCTTCAAACGGCCAATGAAACCGTCACACGCTGCCCGAATGTTGCTCTGCGGTATTTTGGCCCAATCGCGGTGAAGCGCTTGCTTGAGGTGATCGACACTTTGGTATTTTTTAGTGCAAACCTTACTTTCCAAAATACTCCAGACACATTAGTCCAACATATTGGTATCCGGAGATTTTGGTGGCCATTGTGCGCTGGAAATAAAGCGAGGAACGTCATTTTGTAACCATTCTTGGGTGGCGCTGAGTGTGATGGAGCTGAGTCCTGTTTGAATGTCCAAGGTCTGCGCAAAAATGATTGTGTGCCTAAGTCTTTAATACACCCTCCAGAATATTCGGCATTAATACGAGCGGAGAGCGACCATCGGCTGTTATGAGGGAATACATCTGTCGGAAAAACCGACTGATACTTTTTAACTTGTTAATATTAAAAAAACGTCCATTGCATCATCTTAAATATATCCAAATAAGAGATCACATTATTAACCAGAACACAACTGAATTGTCCAGTGGTTACAACTGGCCCATAACTTCCACCGAAGAAACCCAAAACTAATTTCTTGCTGGCAATTAAAAGTTCACCATCCAATTTGTGCAACATCTGCAATTCTCGAAGTCTAACCACTTTTGTCGAGCGTAACCACAACTTCTGCCAGCCGTAAAAGTTTTCTTTGCCATCAATCCCCCGCACAGCCAGGACAACAGTCCGACGGATGGACGGACGGACCGACGGACAGATGGCTATTCCAATGTTTGAGAATGTCTTACTTAACATCCTCATTATACACTTCCACTGTCCTCCCTGTGGCAGTGGAGGGCACAACAATTCCATTTGAGTGCTGCATGACCATCTAAACTGGCAAATTGTGCCACTTCGGATTTAAAGTGAGTCATCCAGGGAGGTAAAGGGGACATTTTGGCAACCCAACCACCAGCAGCAGTGGAAGTCAAACCAAAAAACCATGGTCTTTGCATCAGGATAATGCATTAGATTCTGATTCTATTATGACGACAACAAATGAAGACAACGAGAGCGGGGGTTTGGGAGTGGGAGAGAGAGAGAGCGTGTTATTGTTAGGCAAACATCATAGATGCTACTTAGGAGCATACACACACACACACGCAAAGAGTGATATACTCGGAGTATGCATGTAACTTGTTGTTTTTCTTGTAACAATACTTGTTGTAAAAAAAAACGAAGAAAAAAATCATGATTTCTATCAAAATGATGTTTAAGCATCCTCCCTCTTTATCCTTATTGTCCTACTTAACCGCACGAACAATGCACAACTTGGATGTGGAGCAGAAGAATGTTTATTTTAATGATGACTTGGCACAAAAATTGGAGTCAGCCAGCCAGCCAGGCATTCATCCTGCCGCTGTAAACACACGCACGCATACCCACCCACTCACACACACACGCATGTCTTCACATCAACTTGGAATCATTCAAATTAAAAAGGAAATACTTAAACTATGTACTTATACAATTACATGCCTGTATAACCCTCTCCACATATATGATATGATGTGTGTGGGTGTGCGTATCCTTTATCTCCTGATATGAGCTCAAGTAAATGAGTGCGTCTCTAAATAAAGGACAGGAAAGAAAATAAACGAAATGAAAGATGAATGAAAAGCTCATAGATAGATGTTAACATATGGAAAATCTAAAGATTTCCTTGATGTCTTTAAATGGGGATGATGTCTGCGGTGGGTAGTTCACATCCACATCAGATCTATTCCATCTCCACATCAGATAGAAATATTGCGATGTGCCGGGTTTAAAAGAAATCGGATGCTTATTTCACGTTTTATGAGCTTCATGGTTATTCAAAATTATGACCCGTTGTGGGTAGTGAGTAGTGGTTTGTTGCACCGGTTCTTTATACCTGATATGATGCTAGTGGAAACATCAACATGTCCGAAATTCGAAGACCATCGAACTCATATTTCACATATTATAAAAGTTATAATTGTTCCAAATGTTGACCCTTTGTGGGGGAGGTGCCAGAAGGAGTGAGCACATTCACACCTGATCTTGTGTTAGAAAAATATTCAGATTTGGGATTTTTCAAGAGGATTTGATATTTATTTCGTGTTTCATAAGAGATATAAATATTCAAATTTTTGACCCGTTGTGGGGGAGGTGCCACAAGGAGTGGTCCGACCTATTTCATTTACATACCAGACCTAGAGTTGTTAGAAATATTGGGATATGCGAGATTTTAAGACAATTGGATTCTTATTTCACATTTTCACACCTAACTTAGCAGAGATATAAATATCAGGATATGCAAAGTTTGAACAACATAGGATGATTCTTTGTTGTTCTGTGATGTAAATAATTTTCTGTCAACATTTTCATATTTTGTGGTAGAGGTACCAGAGGGAGTGGACCGATATTGTCCATCTCCGAACTAGATCTAAGTTTGATAATAATTTTTTTTTATTCCCTTCGTGCGCACCAGACAACAAACAGACAGACGAACGGATGGACATCGCTAGAACGACTTCAAATGTCGTGAAACGGATTTGGTCCAAAGTGACCAAGAGTCTAAAACCGTTATTTCGATGAGGCACGTTTTGGCCGTATCAAATTATATACCCACTCTAGTCATATACCCTAAGGGTATAAAAAACGAAGTCGATTGACAGGCATTCCCCATCCAAGGCTTTTAAATTGTTCCCATTTCTTCTACTTTGGTTCCACCACTACAAATAAGTGCATAATTTTTTTTTCAAGCCAAAATAAAATTATTAAGAATGCATATACAACAGATTAACAATAAAAACAATTAGATTTTTAGCGACTTTTTAAGCCATGTCTTATAAACCCCATTCTCAGTTGGCCAAACAGCTAAAGAATTATTTCACAGAAAAGGATGACACTTTTATTTTCAAAACTGCTCGGTGGAATTAAAGAGACAGGAGGAGAAATGAAAACAATGCTGCCCACCTGTGAATGCTGGGCATGAGAAGGGGAACAGTCACTGAGTGAAGTGAGCCGGAAGTGTTAGTTGTTGGAAATGAGAATGA